TTTTTATTGTACATCTTTTCATGTAAAACTTGCTTCTTTGTTACGATTACAATTATTTTTTATTTGTTGTGGTTAGTCAGTTTTTCCGCTATAAGGGAGCAATCCTCATAACATCAGGGAGACACATAAACAAGAACGAAAGAAACCAGGCTAGCTGTCCCGTAGCCTTACCACTACATCAACTTCATATGGAGTAGATAACTCTTCAGAGTGGACAGATAACATCCCACTCGGCTCGTTCCTCAATCCATTGTTTTTTGCACAGTCCTTTCTTTTAGTGTTTTCTGAAATCGATTGCCAGGCAAATTAGAAGTAAAAGTCGAGGATTTTACGGAAATAATATATAACATTGTGAAACCTCAGAAACAGAGATTGAAAAACATCCTTCGTTTTCTAAGCTTTATTGCGTCAGGGAAATTAAGGTAACAGCTAGTTTTGCTACATTTCAATTTCGCTACGTTCGATTTCGCTACCTGTTCTCCACATTCAACTATAGCAGAAGAGTCAGTCTACTGCTAACTTTTAAGGTTAATGAATACCCGTTTTTTGTGTGTTAGCGAACTTGGTGAGCTGATGAAGCGAACTCGACATATGAGCAGCGAACGTGTAGCGAACTTGAATGTAATGAATTCTGCATGTGGCGGAACCGGCGTAAACCAGAATTGACATGAAAGTTGTTTTCACTCTTGTGTTAAAGGTTGATACATGTTATAAAAAGTCAGTTTCAAGGAATTAAGGATGGGTAGATAACCTTTCTCTCTTTACAAAAAAAAAGTACGGAGCAATCGCAATCGTGGTCACAAATAATAAGTCCTCAGTATAAATAAGGAGTTGTCATAGCCTCTTCCTACGGAAAGCGAAGTCATAAGGGATTCTCTTACACGGTATTAAAGGGAACGATCTACCATCAGTTTTCAGGCACTGTTTTCCTGAGAGCTTTATGTAGACGACATTGAAGTTAACATTTTCTTATGAATATAGTACAAACTTTGATATCAATGTTGTTTTCCAGTGGATTCGTTACAGCATTTGCAAGAGCGAAAGTATCCTCCATGTAAGTTTTGTCAAAGGAGTTGATAGTTGAGGGATTCATATGGCCTCTGGTGAGTTGATTCCGATACTTGTAAATATAAATACAATCTCTGGCTGCAAAATTTTTGTTATCCAGTGGATCTTCTTCTCCATGGGTTTGTTCTAATTCCTTAAAAATCACGATGTTCAGGTCTAACGGTTTGTTTTATACTATTGAGTTGATAGCTGAGGGATCGTCTGCATTCAGTTGATTCCGATACTTGCTAAGGAAAGCATTGGGCTTTGGCTTTCCTTGGCTTGTTTTATACGCATCGTCGAGACCAGAAACACCACATTCGTCGATGAATACAGATTACTTGATTACTTCTCACGTTAAATTTTTAAATCATATTCTCATGAATACGACGCCGATAGTGGTAGTATTTTGTCGTCTACCACGATGATTAATTTACTAGTTGCAACTGAAAGTGATCTATGAATATTCCAGGGAATCATATCGCTTTTTTGTCTCTGTTCTGAAATAGCGGTGGTATGAAGCCTTCTGACTGCACTTTAATTTCTCTTGAAACGTAGCCTTCTTTGAAAAAAAGTCGTTGTTAGGAACATACGAATCAAGAGGCTTTTAAGGAGTTAGTATTTCCACAGAAAAACGCTACAGAAAAATTTTACGAAGTAGTATTATGATGGCTTTCCCCACTTCTTCAGTGACGTTAAGTGTTTTGTACTAACGTAGGGTATACTCCAAGCCTCTGTATTTGTTTTATTGATTGATCTTCCTTCAATCGGTCTTGCAATAAATAGTTGCCAAATAGCTATTTACGTACCTTTAGGGTCCTTCCATTTTACCTTAGGGGGGCCTCGACTACGTGCCAATGTTCGCTGCCTGCCTGGGTAAAACTTTGTAGGCTGAATAAAAAGGAGTGTTTGTTATTGGATCAAAGAGAGAAACAAAAGAAGGGACCGTTTCTAGGGTATATTCTTTCCCTCGAACAATGTCGGGAAGGCCAACGGGACGCTTGTCGTCAAGGAAAAACGAGGACTCGGTAACGGCTAACACTGAGAGAGCAATTGCCAAACACCAAACGGTTCTCTTCACTTTTCTTGGTCCGGTTGTTGAATTCAGGATCTAAATGAACTGAGATGAATTAAGAAATGTTCAGTAAAGTGCTTGGAGAGTAGTTTACTGTAATATTGTTTTTACCATTCTTGCACAATCAAAAGTGATTTTCGTTCATTTGATAATTTTTCTTAAAGTGGCTTTATGATAAGAACGCCTACTTCAGGAAATTTGGCTAAATACGTCTATATAGCTATTGCGTTTTCATAAATGTTATCACGTTCGTATTCAACCCGATTTAAGATTGGAACATGTGAATCAGCTATGTTCTGACACTTTGCAGTTTATCGATGGATGATTTTCCTTAAAGTTGGAGTCATTAAAGTAAATTTAGCCTTCGTTTTCTAAGCTTTCGTGTAAGAGGGAAATTGAGGTAACAGCCAGTTTGTTATACATTTCAATTTTGCTACGTTCGTAATTGCTACCTGTTTTCCACATTCAACTACGGCAGGATAGTCAGTCCGCTATTAACGTTTAACGCCACTAAATACCTTATTTTATAAGTACAATAATAATGATTATTATCGCCACCCCACAATACCATCTACTCGAGGCTTCAATCAACACTGTCAAGAGCACACAATTCGTAGCTTATGAATCAGCAAGTGCGTTAAGAGATTTTACAAGGCAATTTCGAATTGAAGATGTCGAAGATCTTTCGGATCCAAGCCCCAGAGGACTAGGCTCCAAGAGGGTAGGCTGCGGAGCAGTAGGTTTTGGATGGAGAGAGTTCATGGAAAATGTTAAACCAGAAGTCTTGAGGATAATGGGAGACAATCAAGATAATACTCTCTTATGAAATGGTAAGGGAATATGAAAATGGATTAATCCAGCTCAGTTCAAGATGCATTTTTCTACACCGAAGTAATCGAAAATCTTAGGGCAACAGATGAATCACAAATATTCGCTGGGATGTAAGCTCGTACTTATATACCAGGAGTTTCAAACTTTCATCGGTCAAATTCATATTCATGTAAATCCTGTTTGTTCTTTTAAGTTTACGTTTAAGTTTCAAATGCAAGAGCAAGAGTTAACTGAACGAACCTCTACTGGCATAGTTTCTGATCTAGAGGACATTTCTCGCCTAAGCTTAAGTGCTGGTATATTTTGAATTCTCAGCCCGTCAGTACATAAAGTATTGGAATGGTCTTCCTTTTAATTCGTAATTTTTTGTGTGGTAGCGAACTTGGTTAGCTGATGAAGCGAACTTGTAGCGAACTTAAACGTAATGAACTCGGCATGTGGCGAAACTGGCGTAAACCAGAATTTACATGAAAGGTTTTCTTTAATCTTGTGAGATTAGGTTTGATACATGTTATAAAAAGTCAGTTTCAAGGAAATGAGAATACGTAGATAACCTTTCTCTCTTTACAAAGAAAAATTGCAGAGCAATCACAATCTTTTAACTACAAATAACTCTGTCCTCAGTATAAATAAGGAATTGCCCCATTCGGTATCAACGTGAACGACACATCATCAGCTTTCAGGCACTGTTTTTCTGAAAGCTTTATGTTGACGACGTTGAAGTTTACATTTTCTTGTAAATAGTGTGAGCTCTGATTTTAATGACGTTCTCCTGTGAATTCGTTACTGATACTTTGTGTGGGTGGGTCGTGTTCTGCTGAAACCAAATAAGACGAAGGTCACGCTCCACGATAACCTTCGGCTGTTTTCTAAGCTCTCTGATATCCGTCTGTCGCTGCACGAGAAATGCTTCCTACCGGTAACAGTAATTTAAGATTTTGGCGTTACATTTGATCCAAACCTATTTTTTAAGATCTCATCCCTAAAACTGTTTTGGCCCCAATGTCAAATCCAACTCAAATCAGTAGCATCAAGCATATGTTTGATAGAAAGATCCTAATGAAAACAACTAAGCTCAAAGAATTCAATAAATTGTTTCAATGTTGTCCGTTTGGTCGATCACAGCAACCACCTAGTTGGTAATCTTCAAGCTTTGCAACACTTCGCCACTTGGGTCATCAGAAATACTTGAAAGTTCTATCGCATGACCGCTTTCTAAAAAGAGTTACGGTGGTTGCAGTCAAATCTCAGCTGCACTTTTTCAAAGCCGTGCGTGCTATCAAATGCATGACTGGTCTAGCGACACATACCTTGTCCTTATTTTCAACTCAACGAGAGGGAATTTAAATTTACACCTTGTAAATATCCTGCTTTTGAAGAGCCCCCCAGGACAAATGGCTTTCTTTTCATCGAATAGCCGTGATAGTAATCTAAACTTATGGAAATCCCTCATAATTTTTAAAGAAAATCGACAATTATGCCTTAATTCGCGACATGTCTCTGACTCATACATATTAACTCGAGTAAATTAATAAATAGTTGTCGCATGAGAGGAAATAGTAGCATTCATAACCTCATGAATAGTCTTTGGAACTCGTTACTGTGTCAATTTACGTTATCAACTCAGTCGATAAAGGGTCGGAAAGGGCTGGCTAGAATTTCTTACAGTGAATTAGAGTGGATTTGGGTTGGATTAAATTGTAATGGAGTGAAGATGGAAATGAATTTCGCCAGTTTCGCTTTTCCACGCAGAAAGTCACGCAAATAAAGGACCCATTCATTTTATTGCACGATCAACTAAGATATCCTGCTGTAATAAATACAAGTATTCATTGCCTAACTCGAAGCCTATGGTAAATAAGCTTTTACTTGATAAATTTTAAATGCTAACGTCCATTTATGCTTCGTCTTAAATTAGGGTTTTACATGTTTTAGTACGATCTATAATGAAAGGAGCGAATTTCTTTTCGTTTTGTTTTTAAGATGGTTCTAGAACAGTTTCTTTAGAATGCTTATAGCTCAGTATTTATTTCTCGACGATTTATCATTAAAGTATTTTGTTGTTTCGAGCACAATTTGTATTTCCAGGGAACAAATTCACGTTCGTTGTCGAAGTTGTTGCCCTCAAGTGCGTCTCCAGGACATTTACACTCATTTGTGTCTGGTGTAGCTGGTTTCCGTCGTAATGATTGTTGGTCATCACTGCAAAGGACTCGGCCTTTTCAGTTTGCCATAACTTTCCAAATAACTTTCCGGGCTCCTTCCACACACAGCATCCCGCCGTCCAAACAGCCTGGGGAGTTTCAAGTGTTACTGTATTTTGTCCCACTGTAAATGTGGTCGAAACATGCGGCTTCGTTACGGACTTGAGGCCATTTTCGGACCTGCCTGTCAGTAGGTAAAGGGTTCCTTGCCGGGTTTTGCTCCCACAGGTTTTTTTGGCATAATCTTTTATCATATCCTCAAAAACCCTCCAAGGTCCATTGTTTGATGCTTCAAACTGAGGTACAGCATTCGTAAGGGTGAAAGTAGCCTTCATGAAATTTGTGTTAAAGGAATTGATACCTGAGGGATTCATGTGGCCTCTGGTAAGTTCATTCCTGAACCTGCGTTTGGCTTCTAGGTTGGCTTGTTTATAAGCATCATCGACACCAGGAACACCTATAATCATAGGCCACATTCTTCCATGAATACAGATAACTTCTTACATTGAAATAATCAAATCATATTCTTCTGAATACGATGACGATAGTGATAATATTTTGTCCTTCCCAAGATGATAAAATTATTAGGTACAGACTGAAAGTGATCTTTGAACATTCCAGGAAATCATGTCACTTTTTCATCTCTTTTCTGAAATTACGGGAGTATGAAGCCTTCTAATTGCACTTTCATTTCTCTTGAAACCATAGAGATTCTTTGCAAAACAGACGTTGTTTTGCGCAAAAAAATTAGGAAGTAGCAATATGATGGCTTTCCCCACTTCTTTAGTGACGTTGTGTGTTTTGAAGTAACGCAGTGTATACTCTAAGCCTTTGTATTTGCTCTATTGATTGATTATCCTCCAATCGGTCTGTCAAATAACCATTTATGTACCTGGAGGATCCATCCATTTTGGATTTTTGGGCCTCGGTTTTGTGCCAATGTTTTTTGCCTGCCCGGGTAAAACTTTGTAGGCTGAATAAAAAGGAGTGTTTGTGACTGGATCGAAGAGAGAAACAAAAGAGGGGGGCGTTCCTTGCTGGATTTCCATCCCTCGACTAATGTCAGGAAGGCCAATTGGACGCTTGTCTCCAACGAAAAAAGGGGGAACGGTAGGTCCGCCCCAGAGAAATCTTTTTCCTTCATTTCGCAATTCCTCTGAAGGAAAATCACACATAATCGGTGACAAAATTGCAAAGCAAGGATTAGGTAGTTTCATCGGATTGATTTAAAAACTTAACTAAAATAAGTTTAACCGATCATGTTTGGCTAGAATATCCCAGTTAAGCAACCCTTCACCCTTCACATAAGAACCATTCTAAGCTTAAATTTCAATACAGGGTTTTTTCAAATATATTACAGTACATCATATGCGATACACAAAGTTAAAAAAAAAAACTAGCCTAAAAACTGACAGTGTTGTAACACCGCAATACTGTACTGTCAATACATCAATCAACAACATATCCGACTAACTAACCATGTAAATTGAGGGTACTATGAGGTTGGCATACGCCCACGAATAGAGGTTTCCTGTAGTGTAGTGAAGCTACAAAGGCTTAAAAACATAAGCTTCCGAGCATACGAAGTACATCACCCCTCACTTTCCCGTTCTCGCACACACTTTTAAGTTCCCGATATATTTACGAACTACTGCTGTCCTAATACACTACATTTCTCCTTTTTAAACAAATATTAAGAACCCGATTTAGAACCTAAGTACACTCCAACTCCATTTATATAAGAACGTACGGAGGTTAACTTAAAAGCGTTTTATTGGTTTCGAATCGCTGGGTAAGGTAGCTCGTTTTCCTCGGCTTGTTCCGGTAATGCTGTGAAAAAAGTAATCTCAGAGCGCTGGTAGCTTGTCTTGAGATAGTTGGTGTACGTTTAATTTCCTTGGTGAGCTGATAGAAGTCAAAGAAGATTGGAAACTTCCTTTTAAAGACCACTTGGTCATACGAGATGAATCTTGCAACAACCAGACATAGAGTATAAATTACGACAACAAATTCGACAATTTTTTTCGTTTAAAATGTAACGCATAATCAACTTCTACGACTGTCACGCAGTCAAGTGAAGAGCGTAACCACGACCAGAACACAGTCCTTTAATGACGAATCTTTCAACAATCAGGCCACAAAAAGTCAATTTATGCAACCAAAAAACAAGTCCGGACGTGTCTTTTTCTTTGCAGAAGCAACTAAATGAACAACTAAATTAGATAGAAGACGCGAGAAACGAATGCTGGTACAACTCCCACGACAGACCTGGCACAACGAACAGATACCTTAAACTCACGCATTTAATCAATTAAGAGACTTATAGATTGTCTGTATCTACCGGTGGAGTGTCTCTTCGAGGACTCGGTAACGGCTAATACTGAGATAGCAATTACTAAACACCAAACGGTTGTTGTCTTCATTTTTCTTGGTCCGGTCGTCTTATGCAGGATCTAAATGGACTGACATGAATTAAGAACTGTTCAGTAAGTGCTTAGACAGTCGATTACTTCATAACTGTTGTGAAGTCAGTGAATTATAGGGCAGTATGATTCAGTGATTCATTTGTGTCTAGATAAGTTTTGAATTGGAAGTCTTAACTTATAATGAATTGGGCTTTAGCTATTACGATGACGTCCCCTATGTTGACTAACTTGGCTATCATTCAATAGTGGAAGGGCTTAGTTGGTCTTCTGTTCTTGCCCAAGACCTACACTACTTAAGTTCATTCTTTTTGGCTTTCGCAGTCAAAGACTGTTTCTTTGATCAGAAACGTCAACTAATTTGTTGTTCATTCGTGAAATTCTCGTGAAAGCAGGTCAGTCTGGATTCTGATACGGTCAGTTGGTTCGCAAGTCAGTACTTCGTAAGAATCAGAGGTAGAGTTAGTTAGAAGTGATGAAAATCAGAGTCTGCCACATTGTGATTAAAGAAAAGAGCTTGAATCTATATTATGCAGACCTGAGGTAGAGAACAGGGATTAAAGAAGAACTTAAGGGACAAAGTCCCTGGTGCCTTCTCCTAAGCGTAAAACGTTCTCTCACCAGATTCCACCTACCTGCACCTTACTAATACTTTGAAATTTACATCAAACAAGTATCAAGTTGTAACATCAGTTTAAAGGCATTCAAATGGGAATTCGTTGACCGGAATGGAAAAGAGTTCCGGAAATTGTTATCATAGTAACACGATGTTGGTAAGAAAGATATTCTTCATGTGTCGCCTTTCATATTTGCAATAAGCATATGTTTTAAGATGAACCCGGCTAAGCAAACATGGGTCAATATAAATCTGGTCAGGTTAGCATGTTACATTGTTAATGACAAATTTACACCGCATACTAAGTTACTGATTTTGACTGAAAATGTGCAGGAGATCATAAATTCAGGTTTCTATCTCTTGAAAGAAGTTAGCCTTCTACATGACAATGATGGGATTTGGAGCAAAATAAACGTTAACTTTCATCCTTTTTCCCTTCCGCTTTTCAGAGTTTTTGAACTAAGATTTTCCTTGCTTGGACACGTGGCACTGAGAGAAAGAACTGAATTCTTTAATACTTGAAATTATTGAAAGGAAAAAATGGAACTGCACGTGAAAGGAAAGATAACAGAGCCGCGTTTCCTTTTTTTTTTAATGATAGAGGTCCTCTAAGGGGGTTTTTGAAGTTGCCGTTGTCGATGGTTTGCCAACATACTTGTCCGGTCTGTTTGGTTTGGGACAAATGAGATACTATAATTATTTCTTTTCCTTTATGGTAAATTTTCTGAGTTGAAATGATTAATTTTTTCCTTAGTAGGAATGTTGAGGGTGTCATTAAATCAGTTTACTAATAAATTTGTAAATGAGTGGAAACATAAAACTGATTAATGAAAGTCAACATGCGAACAACCTTAAAGTGGAGCTTCGGAAACTCATTTTGTCGCACCTACTGCACCTTACCGGTGAGTGAGCAATTGTAAAACTCTCCTCGTTTTGGAATTCCTTTCAAGTCTCAAGTTAATTCAAATCGTAATATGACTGATTTCGTAGAAACTCTCACTTTGTACTTTCTTTTTAATACAGTTATGAAATGAGGTGCTAGTATAGATTTATTTAAGAAAATGCGCAATTTGCCCAGGAGTTTTTAGTTCCACCAACATAGTACCGTTTGTAATTACCACGATCAGAATGACATAAAAACTGAGGGTAGAGGAGTTATTTCTTAAAATCTAGCACACAAAGAAAAGTTTGTAAATTCCAATTTCAGAAACATATTTTCTTCGTGTTGCACCTTATTTGAAATGTGGCAGAATTTCTCATTAAAAAGGAAAGGGGAAGTGAGGTAGTTCCAGTGCAAAACAAGCTATCCGACTTTGATTTAAAAATAAAAAATGACAAGTAGGTTTCATAATTGGCGGAGTTATGCGTCCTATGGTTACTTACCAAGAGGTGGTGGGTGGTGATCACACTGAGCAATAACGGAAAACTGAAGAGTCGTGCTTTAGCTCTAAGCGAGAGTTCAATATATCGTAAAAGTTTGTGACGGACGTTCAGTAATTCTGTTGTTCGATATGTTGATTCTTAATGCATGACTTTGACATTAGCTTTTAAAAGGTGAGTCAAATTTTCCACCTCCTTGAAGAACTCATTAAGGCAATCACCTATTTGAATTAGAAAAATGAATAACATATTGTTCCGACAACAGGCTATGGATCAATAGAATTCTTAATCTATTTCGAAGTTTCAGATATTTCTGATTTAGCAGCAATTGCGTTGATTTAATTTGGACTCAGGAACGGGGAAAGTCAGGTAGGGTTAGGCTAACGTGTTACACCATAATGGCCCACTTGAAATTTTTCTGAAGCAATATCATGTATTTTCATGAATTAATGATACCTATTCTTCGAAATCCTAGTCGGGCAAATAACAATAAACCTTCGAACGATTGGAAGAGACTAGTTGTTTTTGTTACTTTGATTTTTATCCTTTTCGATACGAGCACTAACGAATACGCTGAGAAATAATCATTTAAAGGAGGGGGAGTGTGAAACAGTTATTAGACAAGGAATCTTTTGGGTCTTCTTGTAAGTGCACCCATTTGGGCGATTGATGTACAGCTTTTCCTTCCTCTTATTTTGCCATAAGAGAACATTCCTTTTTAATTCAGAAAGGTTCTTCAAAAGTATCGTAAACCGCAAATCAGTTTAAATTGATTGATCCAAGTAAAAAGTACATCCCAACACTGCAGCTTAGACTACGTTAGAGGTGATCAGAGGAAGCTTCTATTATTGCGAGAAATTATTTCCATAAATTTTCGTCAATAATTTTAAAAGGTCAGTTACCAGGTTGTAAGATCAACAGGTACCTGTTACTACCAGATAAGTCAGGAAATGGAGGTAGACCTTGAGCTAGGCTCTGAAGTAGGTTCAAATGTCCAAATGCGACGTGAATGTTCTCAAAATCTAAATAATTTTAAGAGACAAAAGCGTTTTGAGAAAAATTCAGTCAATACAGGAAACAATGATAGCTGAATTTGAAAAAAGACGATAATTTTACTCGTAGTTTCTGTTATGTTTCTAAATTTTCTGTTATTTCGAGAATTGGACAATTTTTAGGTTACGAGGTCAGTAATGGTCAGTAATAATGAATAAAAAGATCCTGTTTCGATATAGATACTAAATTTTCAGTGTAAGTTTATGCTGCAGTTTTGTTGAATAAAAGATAATGATGGCTTTTGGAGTAATTCATCTTCCTCATACTAAACTTTCCATAATTTCTGTTTTTACGTTAGAACCCCGCTAACTCGAACTCCTAAGGGAATCGAAAACAGTTTGAGTTAGTGAAGGTCCGAGTTATCGGGACTGGTGTTGAACTTCTATTATTCTGCTAATAGTAAACTAGGAATCATATTTTTACCACTCTTGCACAATCGAAAGTCATTTTCTTTCATTTGCAAATTTTTTGTAAAGTGGGTTTTTGATAAGAACGCCTAGTCTGAGAAATTTGGCTCAATACGTTTCTATTCTACTATATACACTTTTATTTTCATGAATGTTACCGCGTTCGTATTCAACCCGATTAAAGATCGGAACATGTCGATCAGCTATGTTCTGACACTTTGAATTTTATTAATCAACAATTTTCTTTAAAGTTGGAGTTATTAAAGGAAATTTAGCCTCCGTTTTCGAGGCTCTTGTACAAGAGGGATATTGAGGAACAGCCAGATTTGCTACATTTC